AGCTTGACACTGGCACCAGCGACGCCGCAGTGTTGCAGATGGCAGTCAAGGCCGTCAACGACACCGCAGGCCCAGACGGGCTCGTACCCACGCTGCTCGTCTTCGGTGCATACCCCCGGATATCCATGGATTCACCACCATCTCCCTCGATAACCCATCGCGCGGAGGCAATCCAGAAAGCGATGAGGGCGCTGCGGAAGGCCTCAGCGGAACATGCGGTGAGCAACGCACTTGGTACCAGGAATGGGCCTACTACAGACGGGGTACTGTCACTGCCTCTTCAGAGTGAGGTGATGGTATGGCGCGAGAAGAATGGATGGCAAGGGCCGTATAGAGTCATCGATATGAAGGACCACGATGTTACTGTAGACATGATCAACGGCCCAACGACGTTCCGATCCACTGTCGTAAAACCGTACTATCGCGATCTGACTACAGCGATAGACGGCGCAGATCAAGGCACAGGTGGATCTCCGACCACAGACGAAGCGATTGCTGATGAACCGCCACTACCGGTACCACCGGCGGAAGCCAACCAAGCGGCTCAGCCGCGCAAGCGGGGCCGCCCACCTGGATCAAAGAACAAGCCCAAGGTGCAGTACCTGTCGAAGAAGGAGGAGGACGATTACGCCCTGGCCGTCAAGCTACGCAATGACGGCGTGATTAACGTCCCGGGCGCTCCATTCGAAGCATCCGATCAGAAGGAGATCGACGACCTCGTCGGCCGTGGAGTATTCAGTTTTGAGCTGTTTGATCCAACTCTACACGGCGGGTATCGTATCTTCAAATCGCGCATGGTCCGCGAAGTCAAAGGCAAGACCATGGTCCCGTACGAGAAATCACGCCTCGTTGTTCAAGGTTACAATGACGAGGGCAAACACGAGATCCTGACGCAGTCGCCAACCATCCAACGAGCCAGCCAGCGCCTGATTCTAGCCCTAGCGCCTGCATTACTCGATGAGGGCATGGTTGTGGAACTACGAGATATCACGCAAGCGTACCCACAGGCACAAACAGAGCTATTCCGCACGGTTTTAGCGCACCTCCCAAAGGAGCTTATAACAAAGTATCCCAAGGGAACAATTATTCGCGTAATCAAGCCACTCTATGGAATCGCGGAAGCAGGAGTCCACTGGTTTGCTACGTACCAAGGACACCACTGCAAGGAGCTCGACATGGCTACATCAACGTATGACCCGTGCCTCCTGATCACGAACGGGAGACGGGAAGCGTTTGGAATAGTGGGCCTGCAGACAGACGATACTCTCGCGATTGGGACGCCTGCATTCTCTGGTGCAGAAGACGCTGCGCTCCAGAAAGCCAATTTTCGAGCCAAGCCCAAGGAGAGACTGTCCAAAGAAGTATCACTCGAGTTCAACGGATGTACTCTAACGTTGCGCGGAGACACGATTCTACTTACGCAGAAGGGACAAGGTGCCAAGATCGAAATTATTGATCCGAAGGCAGCAAACCGAGCACAGAAGTACATGGAGCAGCGCGCGCGTGGCGCGTACATTGCGTCGATATGCCAACCTGAAGCATCGTTCGATCTTTCCGCGGCTGCGCAAATACAACAACCTAAGGACACAGAATACGTGAAGCTTAACCGCCGGCTGCAGTGGCAATCTGAGAGCATACAACGAGGCCTGCGATACGTCCCTCTCGACCTCGCTACAGCAAAGCTGGTAGTGTTCACAGACGGATCCTTCGCGAACAACCAAGACCTTAGCTCACAGCTAGGGTACCTACTTATCCTTGCGAATGAGTCGAGTCGACAAGACAGCACGTTTGATATTCGTGGTAACGTAATCCATTGGAGTTCGACCAAATGCAAACGCGTTACCCGGAGCGTTCTTGCCTCAGAAACGTACGGCATGGTTAGCGGTGTCGACATCGCTATCGCTATCCTAACAACCCTCAAGATAATTACAGGACGCCTAGGTCTACCACCGATCCCACTTATTGTGTGTACGGATTCATACTCCTTGTATGAATGCCTCGTCAAACTCGGAACAACTGCTGAGAAGCGACTGATGATCGACATCATGGCGCTTCGGCAGTCATACGAGCGTCGCGAGATCACTGAGATCCGCTGGATCAACGGAGAGGACAACCCCGCGGACGCATTCACGAAAGCAACACCAAATCGCGCGTTAGAACGTTTCATCGAAAGCAACAAGCTGTCAATCCGAGTAGAGGGATCTGTGCAGCGACCTACGGAGTAGGCACATATGCCTATTTGGAATCCCTCTCATTGTGCCCTTTTTAGAAGACCCGTTTTTCCTTACATCAGTCGTTACAATAAGAAAAGATTGCCAGTGTCGGCATACACACGGTGTGTCGCCTAATAAGGCCCAATGTACCGCCTCGATCCTACTTCGGCCCAACTCGGACCCAACGCTATGTATACCTTCGTAGCCCCCACATTCGTAGAATCATCATACACCAGAATACCAATACACAAGATTACCTTAGCTACTGTTATTCACCGTACGATCGTACAAGGCCTTCCAACAATAGTAGTAATTATATTATTGCGATAAACTTGCGCTACTTATATTTACTTGGTACCTTGGTGGTGCGGCCCTGGCGGGTCGTTTGAGTTGGGACGACAGGTGCAGCCACCTCGGCTTGTACACGTCGTGCAGCATCACTAACACCTTTTTGACGCTTCTGCTTTTGAGAGGAGCTTTGTGAGGCCTTACGCTTACCGTTTTGGGACTGTTGTATAGCTTTTTGAGAGTCGCGAGCTGCTTTTCGATGCTCTTTTTCAGCCCGTTCTTTCTCTCGCTTCTTCTCCCTCGCCTCCTTGAGCCTCTCTCTCTCAACACGCTTCTGTTCGGCCTCCTGAAGCTTGTTGAGTCGCGATTGCTCCTTCTCCTGAGCCCTCTCTGCTTTTTGTGCTTTTTCGAGTTGTAGTTGTTGTTGTCGAGCCGCCTCATCGTCCCGAGCCTGACGGACCTTCTTGGGAGACCAGAAGACGGCTCCACCGTTATACTCATGAGGATTGTTGAGTTGTAGAGTGTAGGACTTCTTTTCCCGCCCATTTCTGATGCCCATAGCCCGCCGGAGGCCCCTTACTTCATGCCTAAGGAGGCTTGCCTGGGTGGAGATGTGATGGAGACTTCGGCGAAGCTTTTTGACCTCCTTATTGCGTTGATCTTTCACCTGACGTCGTATTATACCCTCTATTTTGACCCAGTCTTCTTCAGAAAAGCATGAAGATGAGCCGTCATCTGAATTGTAGCCCCCTTTGACGAATCTTTTAAGTATAACCTCGGCATTAGGGGGGTAAATACCTGTAGCTTCAAAGGACTTTATGATCGTTGGAGGCTTAAAAGCAGTACACCAGGCGCTCCAGAAGAGGTGAAAGAAGTCTCCTTTTACTATTGGGAGCAGCCCCTGGCTGTCCTGAAGGTACTTCGCGAGCTCATTTGAGTAGGCGTCCGAGAGAGGTTTGAACAACGATACATCCAGGGGTTGAAGCGTGTGGGTAGCGTGAGAGGGAAAGACGGCGAGGAGGATCTTGTTGTCGTTACAGAAATTGATAAAGTCCATAGTAACATGAGATTCATGGCCATCAAGGATGAGTAATCGGTACCCATTGACTCCTGAACGCCTCGTCTCCCTTATGAACACCTCCTTGAGCCAGGCAAGCCCTATATCGTTGTTCGTCCAGCCCGTTGGAGAAGACGCCACGAAGACTGAGTGCTTTTCGGCGTCAATAGCGTCAACCCATGAGGCTTGTAGGGTCCCAGCGTCCGATTGGAAGATGAGGGATGGACTCAAGGCTGTACCATCGGCGCAAACGCATGCCAATACAGTAATCCATTGAGTATTGCCATCTTGAAGGCATGCCCTAACCCCCTTTTGATCATATAACACCTTGTCAAACACGCGTTTTGATCGCCCAAGGCATCCAATTTGAAACCCCTTTTCATCCATATTGTAGATCTGAGTAGGTTGCACCCCATACTCCATCATTTTGGCATGCAGAAGCTCAAAATACAACTTGTATTTAGCCCCTGAGTCAGCTTTGTGACGTTTGCGGTCCATCCCAGAGGTGTAGCGCGATATGAGTTCAGATGGGTGTCTTCTTAGAAACCGGGAAACCCAGGTTTCTGAGACCTCTTTTCCAGCCAAAGACGACGCAAAATTGCGTATCATTGTCCTCGTAGGTGGCAAACGTCGCTCGGAGAGCCCCCTGATGTACTCTACAAGCTCCTTCTCTTGTTGTGGGTGGAGGAGACGATGCATAGTCCCCCTAGGCTGCGTTTTGCCTTGGTGTCTTCGAACGAGCGTAGAAAGCTCAACACCAAACATTTTCGCGATTTGGCGGTACGAGAAATTATTGCCAGCCTCACGCGATTCCAAAAATTCAATCGCTTCTTGAATCGGGTCCATATTGGTGGAGTTATGACGCGTTTTGTGAGTGGGTGGTTGTGGTTTTGGTGTTGCATTGGCTGACCTGTTGCATTGGATGCGCACGGATGGTAGGTAGACCAAGCTTCCCGCTTAGCTCGCACCCGTACATAGGGAGATCTCTCCACCCAGCTCTTGCTCACTACTAATCAAATATCAAATACTTTGTTCGTTGCAACGACAGTGATATTCGACACCTTTGCCGTGTCAATATAGATAGCTCTGATTGCAGTTGCGATGGCTTCGGTGCCTTAGGATTGGTTAGTGAAGCATTTTAGAGATCGTAGCAAAGTTGATACGCATTCTTTTTATATAGCTTCATGTTATAGTCTTCTTAATTTACAGTGACTGCCAACCAATACGAGAAACCATTATTCAATAACTCTATCGAAAGCGACTTCAAAGCTCACCTGCTTTATTTCTCATAATGTGCTATGGTATAGTTGACCTAACGATTACAGCGACGTACCAACTTCGCGATCGTAAACCATCTGCACTTATGTTTCAAAACGACCTGTCGTCCTTTTTGTACCTCTCTACATGTCTACAATCAAGTAAATGGCGAGATAATACATGTTCTATATCATGGCGAAATTATCCTTGCCCGTTTTAGGGGCTGGACACCTTTTCGTAGCAATGTCTTCCAATCATCGTGGTATGACTCGAGAGACGATCCGGAACGTGTCTGGACAAGCTCTTCGTAATTCGACTCTCGTGCTGAGGCCCCGACAAAAGTAATGAAATTAGACTTACGTTCTAGATTCTCCTTCATAGCCTTGACGAAAGAATCTGGAAAATTAGAAGAGACTGGATAGGGAACTGACAATGAGTCCCAGAAAAAACGAGAAGGCTGTGGCGGTGACTGTGAGTCTAACAGATGTGGCTGAGGGCATGCAGCGATAATCACGTGCAATATGACAGCTTGTTTAACCAGATCCCCTGCTTCTGTCATGAAGCCTTCTATGCTTAACGAGAATGTATATTCCGGTAGGTGCTCGCGTGAAGTCATCTCTGCATCCAGCCATTTGATCAACGCGAAGATCGGTGCGCGGGCATTTATATGCTCAATCGGAGCTTCTGTTTCGGGATTGGACATTATCTCATTCCATCCAAGAGGGCACATACTGGACCATAGGTTGATGTGTCGCATAATGCAGAGCTTCGGATTTTCTTCGCGAAACGAGGTGAATCCACACATTTGGGAATTCTGGATTCGAGACGGACATGTGG